CGATGGCAGCGTCCTTCTTATCCCGGCCCCCAACGGGAAGCCGCACCATCTGCCAATTGTGTCCTCCATCAAGTACCTGGGGGTAGTTCTCAGTTATGGCGACTTTGAGGGCGCCACGCTGACACATCGCCTGTCCTGCGCTGAAGCAAATCGCTCTCGTATTCTCCGTATCCTTCACTCCCGATCGGTTAGCTTGCGGCGTAGAGTTCAGCTGTGGCGGGCGTGCGTCTTCTCCTCAGCCGTGTATGGCCTGCACGTTGTTGGCCTTCGGCCCAAGCATCTCCGCAGGCTGACCGTTGCTCTGGTCAGACACCTTCGGGCAATCGCTGGCAGTTTCGCGCACATCCATCACGAGGCTAGTAGAGCTCTCCTTGACAGACTCGGCGTGGCGGAGGAACCAAACTCTAGTCGAATCTAGCTGGAGTACCAAAGACCCGCAGGTCTCTCATCCCAGGGTTCTAGGTCGACTCCGAGTGGTAAATGAAGCCCTGACCCGACTCTCAAGTTCGCTTCGGGCCCAAACTGAGGCTGTTCAAGGCGAGCTCGTCGATCAGGTGCTGCCCTCTCCGCCACGATCTCGAGAGGGAGCTCCGTGGGGTCAGCTGGTACACAGCTCGGGCGGGCTTAAGGAAGCTCTCTTCCACTGCTGGCATTGCGACCTGTGCTTCGCAGAATTGGCTGCCTTGAAGCGTCATTTGCAAGATGCCCATGATGCTCACACCCTGCCGGTATCCTCGGAAACGGGTTTTCGGGAACATAGTGTGGGAGGGATGCCGGTCTGTGCACACTGTCAAGCGGATCTGGTGTCGTGGAATAACTTCAAGCGCCACCACCGCTACAGACACTGTCCAGTGCTGTGGCTGCGGACCCAACAGTCTCAAGATGTCTCCCCTCCTCAGGACGATCCTCCCCCCGTCCCTCCTGTCCCGATGGAGTCATCCACTCTTTCTGCTCCTCAGGCTTGGATTCCTCTCGCAGACTGGCCACAGCTCCGCGACGCCCCCATGAGTCAATGGCTTGAGATCTTCCGAATTCCCTCGGCAGCTCAGATCTTACGTGAGGGCTGTGCCCAATGTGGGCAATGGCTGGTCAGTATAAAAAGCATCAAACTTCACTATAAGCATGTGCACCCAGACATTTACGCCGCATGGGCCAAACCGGCTGCTGCTGATTGTAGGAGATTTGGACGGGTGCTCTCGCCGTGCCCGCACTGTCACCAGTCGATCACACGCACTGATATTCACTGTAGCACTTGTCCGGCTCTGTGGCAGGCGAGACTAGTTAGCTATGTCCGAGGAAGAACTCATCGACCAGGAAATGGCGGAGGTGTTCTGCAAGCGGCCCCATGCAGGGAAGCCGGGGCAGGAACGTCCCCCCAAATCTCGGATGCCGTGGGGAACGGGCCGCCAATCCAGGGGGAAGGGCACAGGAAAGGGCAACTCAAGCAGCGGAGGCTCTCTTTCGCGCCCCAGAGAGGAGAACGCAGTCCGCGACAGGGAGGAGATGACGCTCCGGATTGGGCAACTGCTGCTGCGACACACGGACTACCTGGCCCGCCTGCGCTCGGACCACACGGTCATCATCACATACCGCAACGACGACACCCCGGAATGCCTCCTGCCCGCCCTCCTAGAGAAGGCCGAGACCTGGCGCCGGCTGAAGCTCGAGAAGTCGCCCAACCTCACTCGGACACTTCGGCAAACGCTCCTTCTCTACACGCTTCAGGAACTCCGGGAGAGAGCTATGATGCTGGAGACCTCTGCAGCACAGGCGCAGGCAGATCGCGCCCGCTTCACGGAACTGCGCTGGATGACGGCAGAGGGTCATTGGAACCACTTGGTCTACGACCCGAGCGAGGAGATCATGGCGGTGGACCCCCAAAAGCGGCCTCGACCGAGAGCCGAGGTCCTCAAGGAGCTGGAGCGTCTCATCATCATCTTCAAGACGCCGGAACTGATCCTCAAGTACGACTCCTTTCGCCCACTCAAGGGCAAGTTGGAGGGTCCGCTCATGACGTTCCAGCTGGAGCTGTCTCTGCAGAGCCCGGTGGCGCACGAAGCCATGCAGATTTTGAGGGGGTGGTTTGGACTATCCCACATGCTGCTCATGGGTGCCCGCATCAAGCCGGAGCGAGCAATCCGGCCACATTTGGCACAGGCTCTGCAGCAAGCTCTGTTCGGATGAACGGCCCCGCCATGGGTGCCGGAGCCCCTTCGGGGCGCTCAGGAGCCCCTGCCTTGGAGGGTCTGCTGACACTCAAACTTCTAAATCCCTCTAGTCTGTGTTATATGAATGCGGCTGCATTTCTGCTGGCCTTCACACTTCGAGTTTCCTCGCTCGTCACAAGCAGCTCGAGTGGTTTGGGTCTTGTGGTGAACTACTTGTGTCGGGGTCATAGACGGGTTGTTGATTTACGCCAGTTTATGGCCTGGCAAGCGTTGCTAGTAGGATGGGGCCATGTTGTAGGAGATCGTGCCTCCCAACAAGATTGTGCGGAGTTCCTGGGCCATCTCGAGGGGGGCCCCCCGCAGCGCAAGGCGAGTGGCAAGCTCGCACCGTCCCTGAAACGGCCCAGCCGGCGCCGGTGCGGGACTCAGGTCAGGGCATTCTTTACCTTGAACTGCCTGACAGTGCCACAACCCTCCAAGACTGCGTAACGCACTGGCATGCACAGCATGATCCACTGGTCTGCCCACACGCTCTGGTGAGGGCCACGCCTCTCGTGTACCTCTGCCTGGGCAGGTATCGTGAGTGCAGCGATGGGGAGGGAAATCACCGGACGTTGAAGGCCCAACATCGCATTCAGTGTACGCCGCACGCTGAGCTTGTCATTCCTGTGTTCCAGGGGAGCTCAACCTCGGTGACGATGAGCAGATACCGCCTGCTGGCGGGTGTGTATCATCTTGGAGACACAGTCAACAGGGGACACTACCGTAGTTTCATGGCGAGCGGGGATTTCGCCTCTGCAACGGCCCCTCACGGGAGTCCGACCTGGTGGTGTACTGAGGACAGCCAGCCGGCCGCTAGATGCAGCTCAAAGCAGTTGAGAGTTTTGGAGCAGAACTGTTATGTTCTTTGTCTTCAGCTTTGCTAGGGTAGGTGGAGTATGCTGCAAAGTCGTCCCTGCCTGCTGGTAGTGTCGCTACGGGGCAGGGTTTGGGACGTACTGCGGGCATTTTAATGCGAGTACGGAGATGTCACAGTACAGCCAACTGGGCCGGACTCTTCATCGGGTCTGTCTCCCTTTCCGCGCTAGGTACTCGACAGAGTGCTGCGATTTCAAAGTCAAAAGTCTCCTCTTCTCCTGTTCCCCTCTAAACGACAAAAACGCAAGAAAGGAAGAATAAGAGGGGAATGGAGGCCCTGTTCCTTTCTTCTCCTTTTTCAATGGACGGGGAAAGTGAGCCGGGTTGGTTTCTTGCCCGTAGACCCTCCCCATGCTTCAGCAGATCCGTCCTTTCGCCTATCGCCTCTGTTCTTTTCCTTGTTGCCGAACGGAAAAAGAAAACGGGTTCCTTTACATGTTCATTGTTCTTCCTTTTTTTCAATTGGAAGAGAACAAGAGAAGAGAAAGATAAGAAAGAGAGGAAAGATGAAAACGAGCACCGTCTTCTCTTTGCCTTATTTTTGCACCTCCCTCTTTTGTCTTCATTTCTCTTCTATTCTTTTCAATGCTCTTCCCATTAACATTGCATTCCTTTTGATCTCTCCTCTCCTTTCTCTCTCCCTTCTCTTCTCTTGTTCTCTTTCGAATCTCAAAAACACACAAAAGGAAGCTTCTTTCCTTTTTGAATGAAAAAGAAAAAGAAGAAAAGAGATAGGGAAATAAATTGAAGAGCTCCACTGCCCATTGTTTCATTCCCTTTCCTCTCTTTCTATGCGTTGCTTTCCTTGTCGTTTCAGAAAGAAGCAAAATAAGGGCAACGGGGCTTCCTGAAGAGGAGAGAGGGCACCTGTCTGCTAAGAGCAAGAATAGTCTTGTCTTTTTAACTATAAATGGAAAAGGGGAAGACAAGGAAGGGAGAGATGATAGACAACGAAGAGTGCCATCTTCTTTGCGCCTTGTTGTGTTCCTCTGTCTCCTGGTTTCTTGTCTCTTCGCTTCTTTTCAGTACCCTTCCAGAAATTAAAGTGGCCTCCTTGTTGTCTCTCCTCTCTCACTTCCCTTTCCTTTCTCTCCTTCTGTTTCCATTTAACTTTAACTGATAAAACGCAAGAAAGGACTTTCATGATAAAGCAATGGAAGGGTAAGCAGAGGGTGACTCCTTGCGCGTGGACCTTGCTTGCCGTACTTCAGAGAAGGGGAGTTTACACCTTCTTCTCACCATGTTCCTCACTCTTCTCCCTTCTCCACCCCCCTCTCGCGCTCTCTCTTTTTCAGCAGGCTTGAGGGCAAGGGTTTTTCCTCGCCCCCACCCCAACGGCTGCTCTCCCTCTCTCTCTCGCTCTCTTCCTTTTCTTTTTTTCTTGAGTGGTATGTCTCGTAGATTTGGCAGAGGAGGAGGAGGGTGAGAGGAATAAAAGGCTTCAAGCACAAAGAAAGAGATTTGAGGAAGGAGAGAGCGAATGAGACAGGGCGAGACATTGAGAGAAACATAGACCGTGGGTCTATCTACCACACAAAAACACGACTCTCAGCTTCCAAATAAACCCTATTTAAGCCTTGCACCCCCCCCCCCCCCCCCCCCCCCCCAAGGCTCGCATCATGGGTTTCGAAAGTATGATGAAGCACCTGGCACGACTTTCTCTAAAGCGGGGGGGTTGGGGGGGGGTGCAGCAACCACCCCTCCCCCCCAATTTGCAAACACAACGCTCGCATCAGAGGCGTCGAAAAGACGCGTATGCTTTGAAGCAAGCTGGCACGACTTCAAAAAAGCGGGGGGTTGTGGGGGCCCCCCCCCCATTTGCAAACACAATGCTCGCATAATGGGTTTCGAAAAGATGCGTATGCTTTGAAGCAAGCTGGCACGACTTCTTCCTTGCTTTCTTTCTTTTGCTATTTATTTCTTTTTACTTTCTGTCTTTCTTTCTTGACTTCTTCCTTCCTTCCTTCTTTGCTTCCTTGCTTCCTTGCTTTCTTGCTTCCTTGCTTCCTTCCTTCCTTCCGTCCTTCCTTCCCTCCCTCCCTCCTTCTCACCCTCCCTCCCTCCCCTTCCCTCCTCTCCGTCGGAAGAGCAGAATAAATTATTTCTTGATCCTAAATAAATTATTGTTTTGATCCTAAATAAATTTTTCTTGATCCTAAATAAACTTTTTTTGGATCCGCATCCCTTGATTGCTCGCCCGGCCTGTCGCGCAGCTCGCCCAGCGGCTGCCCATAGCCTTGTTGCGCAGTGCTCTGTGAAACCGTAGTTCAGCCCTCTCGCAGATTCGTCGTTGGAAACTCTCCAGGCTTGGATCACACCGAGACTTGCGCGGTTGTCGAAATACGCAATCCAATCTGCAAGGCACTCCTTGTCCTTGTTTGTTGCAATGTCAGACATAATGTGGCGGGGTGGCAATCCGGGGGGGGGGAAGGGGGGGAGGGGGGGGAAGTGGGGCTTTGGCGGCTTTGGAGTCTCTTTACACACGCTTACTCAGTGTCCAACCATTCAGTTGGGCCCGGTGGCACACAGCCAAGCAGCCGAGATATGGTCGACCGCTTGTCGCCCGAACTTCGCACAAGGACTCGATGATGCTCTTGCTAACGGTTGGCAGTGTGAGGCATGTCTAGCTGAAGATCCGATGTGTGTTTGCTACTTTAGCATTTTGGTTGCAAACTCAATTGAAGCTGACTATTGATGGTCCGTGGGTCCTCGGCATCGAGGGTATAGTCCGTCTTGTCCACAGTGTCTTTCTTGAGCGTCATGACAGCCAAGTTGTAGGTAGCATCATGGCCTGCAGTCGACCGCCGTCCCAAATTGTGAAGTCAAAGAGCAGCACCCTTTTCTGGAAGAGGTCTGGCTCACTTTTGCAAAATGAGTGTTTGCCTCTTTCCTTTTTGCCTCTCTCTCTCTCTCTCGCAGAAAATCCGCATCTTCAAACGTCTTCCAAAGAAGGCTGTGAATCTCCCGACCCTGGATGAACCGAGCTTCCGAGCCTGCGAACATGCCGTACGGGCCTGAGCGAGGGTAGCTTCAAATCGAGCGCTTTTAACAGGTGTCTTGCATCTTTTTGGGGATGTGAGATGGGAATGGGCAATCCTAAACTGTCACACTAGTTAAAGCTATGTTTGACCCTTACATCCAAACCCCGAAGGAACGTTCTCGTCCAAGGTGCCCCCTGGCCCGAAGGACTCCTTTGCGCCGCTGACGTCGTAGACGCGCCCAAGGACCTCTCCATTAAACAGTCATGCATAGAATTCCCTTCTACTCGAAGAAATTGAACGCACTGAAAAATGCGGGTGTGAGAACATCCTAGGCCCCAGCAGGACTCCTCGTGAAGAAGCGTTACTTTCATAGCGCAGCTCAGTGGGTGCACATTTCTTTCTGTTGCAGCAACCACCGCAAGCATCCATTCAGGCCACTTCACGCAACCCTGTACGCAAAGCGTGCAATTAAACAGGGGAGCGTCGGCAGCAGGCAAATGAGAAGTCGCTAGGGTCCTGGCCGAGGTGAGAATGGGCTTGTTGGGGCTCTTTCCGTCGAACTGGAGGAGCTCGGCAGAAGTGAAGACCTGACGGCTACATGGTTTCCGGGAGGTGTATGGACATGAGGACCAGGTGCAATCACAGGATAAGGCCTGTGATAGCATGCCACAGCACTTCTGCATAGCGAGGCATGGCCGCAGCGAGCTGATACGCGCATCGCACATTCATGCGGTGTGAACAACAGAACTACAGCAACCATTGCAGCAGCCCTTCCTTTGAAACCTTGCTGGGCCATACCGTGCCCCGCAAGCACCATACAGTTAGTGTTCAAAGCGGCACCCGGTCTGCAGGCGCCATGGGCGGCGGGGGTACTTTCTGCTTCTTGGCTGCTGCCGAGCCTGGCAAGGGTCGCCAGCGAAGCAGCACATGCCCATTCATCGAACGAAATTGCAAGTTGTCGCCTCTCTGCCGAACATGAATCAAGCCGTAAGCTTTCTGCATGTGGTCCCAAACGGCTTGCAGCTGCTTTGGTTGGCCTTCCCCAGCGCTCGCGCCACCCTTCAGACAAGGAGAAAGCCGTGGCAGCACAATTATTTTATGCCAAATGCTCCCAGGCTATCTAGATCAATCTAGATCATACGCGCCGAAGATGCGCAGAAGGGTGCGGATAATCGCATTCCATTCGGTAAAATTTCAAGCTAAGAAGCTGTCACTTTTCCTGACGATTTCATGCAATTCTTGCATGTCATATAGCTGCGGAAAGGTAACCAGGGCATGGCACACATGCGTTGCTTGATGGGCTTCTTCAGCTGAGTCTTCCTAAGGATTCGCTTGGTGGTGGAATTTGAGTATTCAAAGCTGAAATGCCCCGGGAAAATGGAAAGCTCACCGTGGTGTGTGGTGGTCTGAGCTCGTAAAATTGTCCCCCACACCGAGCCCACACCTTACGAAGCGTCGCGCAAGGTTCCAACTGTGAGCCTTCGTGGATGCGAAAGAGACTCCCTCAATCTCGGCCACGCTGTAAGCCTGCAAGTTATGCTGCGTAGATCGAAGGGATGCGAAGGCTTATGCACAGAGTCTGGATAAACCAAGGCCTCATCAAACAAGGCCAGAATCATGGCGTAGATGTTGCGCATGCAGGCCAGCATACGATCTCACAGCACATGCCAGGGCAAATGCGGAACCATGCTGACCTCACCGTAAACCTCACCGAGCAGCGCACCGCGCTGATCGTCAGAAATGGACAGCTGGTCCATGCTATCCAAGTAGCCTGAGACAGCTACAGGTGAGGCTCTGTCAGGTCCTGTTCCGGACAAAGGCACTGTGCACTGGGACCTCGTGTTGAAAGCGCTGGGGTCATGGCTCTGCACGCGGCCATGAGTAGACCTTGCAGCAGTGTACTCTTTTTGTCAGCCAAATACCCTGCGACTGGAGACCGAAAGACTTGCCTGGCAGCATGGTACAGCTGACACAGACACATCGTTGTGTCTGAAGCCCCTCCCCACAATTGCCTTTGAAGTGGTGCACAATCCTCGGCCCCATGCTGCCCCGCTGGCAGATCGAACGAATAGAAGCGCGCTCCTGTGGAACTACTGGCAACTTCTGAGAAACAACAGTGCAGCGACAAATCGCAGACTGAAGTACAAAGGTCGCCTGTATGGGTTCATCCCGTCCTTCTGGCGGCGTCTGCTGTGCTCGGTTTGCCACCTTGCCGCCCAGGAACCTGGCAGCGCGGGAGCTTGTGAGCGAGAGGGACTTTTCTTCAAGCCCCAATTCCCTACTGGACAGCGGTCTCAATGTGTAACTTTGCCAAGGGCGACTGTCCCCCGCTGAGGACCGCGTTGTATTGCAAGAAGTGATGGCCTCATGCAGATCATTGACATTGGCGTTCGCGTGAGTGAGAGGGTTTGCCAGAATCTCCTCTCCGGCTCTGCAAGACCATCTGCATGGTCGTTGTGATTGGACAGCCACGTAGCTGCTACAATCAAAGGGTGAGATGCAGCCTAACTTTAGCCCCAAAACAAATTGTCAAACTTCAGCCCTGTACTTTCCGTTGTACTCCCAGATCGAGGCTGGTGCAGAATAGCAGCCAGGAATCTTTGGAATCCTGGCAGGCTGAGGGCTGCATTCCGGTGCAGACCAACAACGGAACCTAGCCTCTCGAGGTTGGATACTGCTGGCCTGCCCCGGGCCCCGCAAGACACATGGCCCGATACTTTTTCGCCAGTAGCCGGTACTGCGTGCACCACATCAGCCTGTTGGAAAAAAAGAACTTCCCAAACGCGCACGTGAACCTACGGTACAGCCTGCACGCATGAATTCCTCAATCCTTGGGTCCTCTTCCAACTGCGCCAGGTAGCGAGCGACTGCTGGAGATTTCTCTGCTACCTTGCTCCACCGGACTGCGGGTTGCTGCGAGTTTTTGTTGCGAGAATCGCTGTGATTGTAGAATGGACCACAAGGAACCCGCACATGCTGGAAGAACTGGAGCGTGGAACGCTGTGGAAGTAAATGCACCTTTTCTTCCATGTCCCACTGTGCCGCACTAGCCCTGGCCTTCACCTGCCAGTCTGGACCGCACCAGAAGTGCAAGTCCTGCTTCAAGGCCTGCAGGCCACAATATCCACAAATGCGGGTGTCTCCGGTGTTATGTTTAGCATAGTTTAGCGTTCAGCGCGGCACTTTCATGCCACCTCAAGGGGTGCCTTGATACAGCAGTAGCGGGAATTTTGACTGGTATCCCGCAAGCAGCAGCCGGAGCCGTCTAAGCCTGCAGAAGTGTGACAGATTCTTCTTTCCCAGTGTGCCTCTGTCCGAAGCAGAGCCTGCCAGCAGTAAGGGGCACTGGATTAGGCTAGATGCTGTTGGGGTGTGGGTGGCTTTGGCGGTCGAAAGGCAAAGGACGGTTCCTAGATGCTCCCTTCGCATCTGCAACCGTCTATGCTCCTCGATGTTCGTTTCTGGTCCAAGGTCCTGCCCTTAACCCCCACTTCGTCACCCAAATCTAGCAGCGAACTCTGCAAGTCTGTGCATAAGTCTTCTAGATCTCTACCTGCTGTTGATTTCGATTACCATGCTGCTCCACTAGCTAAGAAGTCAGATCCCCTGTGATTTGGGGCTCGTGACGCGGCGCTCCTGGTCCATGACTGCAGACATTGGCGTGCCTTGGCACTTCGAGCAGTGCGCCTGCAGAAGCAAACCGCTTGAAGGGCTTTAGGGGAGTTTTGGTTTGTAAGTGCTGCTTTGGGTTTAGGGGCTGTGCGCTTCCAAAGAGCTTTTTGGGCCGGCCGTGCTTTGCACGGCACATTGCTGCCTACCGCGATGCTTCCACGCCTCATTTGGCGTGGCGAGAACCCTGGGTTCATGGGGCCCTCAACCGTTTAGGACATAGGACTGCTTGCGCTGGCCTTTGCTGATCTTATGATGTGGTCTGATATGGCGGCTGGCACGGCTGTCGAGGGCGAGTCGCTGAACCCACTGGAGTCAAAAATAAAGTGTCTGATGAAGCTCTTGAAACTCCGACGTCGGAGAAAGGAGATGAAATCTTGAGCCTCTCGCTGAGCCTCTCACTGCGCCCCGTGCGCCTTTAAGATCTGCATGGTCGCCTCTTGCCGATTCTGCGTGGCCACTGCCAGGGGTGTCATGCCCTGCGCGTTGGGCTGGCTGATGTTGGCCCCCACCTTGAGAACATGGAAGAACACACTCCAAAAAATCGAGATGACTGGCCTGAAGCGGACCAACATTCCGAACCCAACTTCACGTTCCAACTTCACGTTTGCCCGCCTTGAGGAGGTATTCTAACAGCTCTTTTCGGCCATAGCCGGCGGCATAGTGCAGGCCACTGTTGCCGGCGCTGTCCACGGCCTCAGGATGCTCAAAGAGCTTCACAGGACTTCGCAAGGCTTCAGGGTCTGAGGCACACAGGGTCTGGAATGGTCTGTCGCGATACGCGCAGCTTTTGCATGCGTGCCCCTTGACGCCAAGGAGCATACGGGTTGGCCCTGCTGTCCAAAAGCTTCTTTACCACCGCGATGCGGTTGGCACCGATAGCATAGCCTAGAGGAGTGATGCCTTTGTGGTCCTGAGAGGAGCAGATTCCGACCAAGAATTGCACAAACAGCACAGCCGCTTATCACCGTCTTTAGCAGTTTAACATAGTTTACCCATTGTTTTGGCTGGTGGGATCCAAGCTCCTGTGCATCCAAGGGCTTGTTCTTGTCCAGGAACTGCTGGACGGCTGCGAGATCACCGTTCTTGGCAGCCTCATGCAGGGTCAAGGACGTCTCTTCAATCTTCTGGAGCGCCGGCTGAAGCTCGACAGGCAGGCCGCCCATCTTCTGACTGATCTTCAACATCAACTCTTCGTCCTGGTAGTACTTCATGACGGCTTCCATGCCGTTCTTCTTGATGTCCTCGAAGACGGCCGCCAACTCAGGATCGGTCTCCAAGGACTTGACCTTGTCTTGGACCGGTGTGTCGCCTTTGGCCATCTTGGCGCTGTAGTGCTCTGCGATGGCCTGGGTCTGCAGCCAGCCCCTCATGGCATCGGGGTTCTTGGCAAAGCTCTTCAAAGACTTTGCAGTGTCTGGGTTGCTCTCGACATAGGCCCGCACCTCCGCCCACGTTTCGTCATCCACATCCGGCAGCCTGCAGATCTCCATGGTGGTGCCATCGCTAATCTTCAGCGTCTCGGTGGCCATGCTTGCGCTCGAAAGAATAGACAGAGGGGTACTGTGGGATTTGCTCGTGTCTTTGAGCAAAGGAGGAAGAGTGACTCAGCCGGTGATTCACACACAGTCCCGCAATGGGCATCGTAGCAGGTGCACATCGAAAAGCAGGCCCAGCCCTGCGTAAGCACAGATTTAGCGAAGTCCTGCATGCGACGGGCCTCAAGAGCGCCGAAAACGTGGTACTGGCCCGCCAGGTACCGGCAGTATGCCTTGCATAAAGGCAGCTGTGTGATAAAGACTAACTGATTTTGAATGAACAATGGAGTACATCGGGAACTGGCACGTAGACAATGAAAGCTATGTCATGGTGTGCGGACCATTCCCGTCCGTGGCACATGATGCATGTCAGGCGTCTCTTCAATGCTGGCAGGCGTGGAAAGTGTGTGTGTTGTTTGTAGGCAACAAGATGTAAAAGTCCCCTGAAACAACGATGTGCTGTTAACGCGCGCCAAGAAGTATTTGTTTTTTTTTTCTCGTCCATGGGTGGAAAGACCATCAAACCTGTGCGAGCCGTGAAGTGCGAAGAGGAAGTCAATTCGGCGGATTTTGAGGAGGTGGTCATGTCGGATGTTTACGATCACTTCTTTTTCTTCTTGAGCCGTCAAGTGCGAAAAGGCATTGAAACGTGTTGACATACGAGTGCGTTTGTCGTGTTCACCTTGAGTTGGCGTTTACGACTACATGCCCGTGCAAAACTATCAAGCTTGCTTGTGCCGTGCGGCAACACTAGATGAAGCTCGCACGGTCAATACGGACACCGAAACCCATCGCCGGCATCTATCCGCGTGGAAAGCCCCTATCTAGGACATCAAGGGTGCGAGCCGAGAACAGCAAACGATGGCCGGGCCGTCCTGTGTAGGTCAGTGTACTGCCCCGTGTACGGAATACAACCTTGTGCACGCGCTGCTTTGGGGCTTTCTTTCCCCAGGGACAACGAAATAAGAAAACCACTCCCCTCCTTCAGTGATTTGAGGATCCGCTTGTCTGCTCATCTAACGTTGTGATCCCCTGAGAAGGCCGGACACGACCGCCACAGTCACAGGTCTCTACACTACCCCGAACCGCCAGGAAAGCACCGGCCCGGGAACTTGAAAATTAGCACAGTGCTTGAAAGGCTCTCGCGTTTTGTGGTGGTTTTTTTCCTATTTTTTGTTTTTTCTCTCTCTCTCTCTCTCTCTCCCTCTCTCTCTCTCTCACTCTCTCTCCCTCCCCCTCTCGCTCGCTCTCGTCCAGCGCCTCCTTGTCGAAGTTCTCGGCATAGATGGTCCTGTCGTCCACAGAAACATTGTGTTGTGTTTGAAAGCTATGGGCCGGATGGACCAAGATGGTCACTCGAACATGTGACGTCAATGCGTCAGACACAAGTGGCCGCGGGTGAGAGCCTCATGAAGGGATGCTCCATCGTGGCTTCATGCTCCTGAGTTCTCAGCACGCTGCGCCGACGAGAGCCAAGCACATTCACTGCGCTTGCCTTGACTATGTAGTGCTTTGAGAAATTCCGCCGCACTTCATGATCTGGGAAGTGCCGCTCTCTCGACACAAGCTCCCTCGGCATGGAGCCTTGTTGGTTCTCGTCAGGAACCAGCTGGAGTGCCCGCGCACGTCAGGCGCCAGCGTGCTGTACTTGCCTCGGCACAATCAGAAGAACACTAGAGGAGCCAGCACAAACCCACAAGCACGACTTACAGAACCATCGTTGCTTTTCAATGCCCAAAGACATCTTGCTCCCGACCACTGCAGCCATGACGACTACTATCGATGGCTCCTGACTCCTAACCCCCACAGAGTCTGAGGGCTGGACTGGACATGGCCTGGGCCTTGCAACCCTGGCTATTTTGGGTAACTGTGGGATGGGCAAGGAGCTTACCTAGAGATGAGTGATAAGAGGTAGGTCAAGTAAGGCTCACTGCGCTCTTTTCGCGAATTAGTGCAACCGCCTCTTGATCAAAAGGCGCCGCCTTTTCACAGTTGGGGTCTACGATTACGATTCAATTCAGAGTCCGACGGATTACATTGGAAGATTGGAAGGTTGCGCGTCTCCACTAAATAGTTGGCGCGGCTGCGCAAATTCAGGCAACCACCACTGACAAGGCTAATCCCAACACCCTGTACAACATCTTCTTCCCCTAAACGCCCAGGGAGCAGGCTCACGGGTTGAGGGTTGCAGAGGTCTGGGTGGCCCGGGTCCGGGACTTGATACTCAGCGCTGGACATGGAAGCCGACACCAGAAACGAGGTTAGAGTTCAGAGTCTAAATATGCAGCTCACGGTTCACTTCACACTGCCTGTGGAAACCTCGTAACCCTGAAGCCCTCCACAAGCCTTGAACCACCCAACCATTGAACCCCCAAGCAACCCCAAATCCCCGCTCTGTCCTACAAGTCCCTGAAGCAACCTACAACGCTCGAACCCCTACAGCCTGCTCTCAGCGCCCTCTGCCAAACAAAAACTTCATGAGACGCAGAGCTTCATGTCCAAGCCATGAAGGCTTTCAGTGAGGGTTGGCCCAGTAACCGATGGGAGGGTGTTAAGTAAGAGTTAAATTCTTCTTGCGGCTGATGCTCTTCAAATCCCAACACAAATCGGGCATAGTGGATGGGTGCATGCAAGAAGCAGCTCGGGGTTTCGCTACAACTTTAGCAGAATCAAATGCGCTCATTTTCTGGTCTGTCCAGGATTCCCCTCGGGGGCTCGCGTTGCAAACAACTTTTGAAAACTTCTACCCTGAACAAACAATCCGGCAGCCGTAGAGAGCAAAGTCACAACTTCCACAACTTAAAGCAGTCGTCTTAAATCCACTTCCGTTCTCCTTGCCAAACCTGGCCAACAAGGAGCTCTCTCCATGGACCTCGTTTGAAAGGCAAACAGCTCTGCTATGCAGATCTGCCTGCCGGTGGCATTATCAGAAAGCGACCTTTCTTATGAAGCTACTGCCCGCGGCACTTGTCAGCCGCAACACGAGGAAGTAAAGTAGCTTGAGATAGTCTGATGCCATGAAAGGCGAGGGCAGCTCCATGGAATCGACATGTTCAAACGTTCTTGGACACACCGACGGCGAACGAAATGCCGAGAACGCATTGTTGGATACTCTGCCCTGCAGCTTTGATTCGGACACAGGCTGTCGACCATATGTGTACAACATCAAGAGAGAACCTCAATGAACCTCAATGAACGTCAATGAACCTCAACGAACCTCAATGAACCTCAAGGATCTCAATCCGCCGCGGCGATGGCCGCTTCAGAGCTACTTAGCAAGTCAAAGCCTCGGGATCATCTCAGAGATTGCACATCAAGAGCCGACCAGACATGATGGCCACTAAGGCGAGCAGCAAAAGATGAACAATGTTGCTATGGAATGACGACTGTCCACCGAAGGCTCTGCACTTAAGCTTGCGGTAGCTCCTTACAGTCGACTCGCCGCAGGAGAATTTGTATCAATGGAGATTTGCTGCAGGTTCATATTCCCTACTCTGTTCTCCCCGCGGAGACAAGACGAATCATTCGGGGTAGAAGTTGGGTGAAGTCATTCGTTGGGTTCAGACAGCCACGGAAAGAGAACAACTTCTCCTGCAGCTTCTGTCTTAAACACGTCGATGTACAGCTGTAGCTCTTCGGGTGATCTCTGCCGGCAGCAAAGCTGCGATGGTGCAGAGGCCTAGTCTGGCCACAGAGTGCGAGAACTAAAACTTGTCGGCTTACCTGACGGGCAAGGGCTGATTCGGACTACAATGCACCACAGCGTCGCTAAGGTGCTGAACTGCGACTCTTTGAATCAAGTGTGGTCAAATTCGGCATGAAAAAACACACCTGAGCCTGACATCATCAGAGCGGGCCTTGCCAAAGTGGTCTTGGCATAGTAAAGGGCATCTGCTTCCTTCCTTGTCAGAGCTCATAAGCTACATAAGCCAAGGCTTCAATGTTGGGAGGCGGCTCAGTGTGACACCTGCATTGCAAAGTCCGCAAACAATCCAGACCCTGTCCTACACTGCACACTTCCATCCAGTACAAACTCACTGTGCCGCATCCCACCCTCCAAACATGACTTGCTCGCCAAGCAGCTCAGCCCAGGCGTGCACGATCATTTTCTTGGCCTCCTCGTTGATGTTGTGCCAGTTCCTGAGCTTGTCCCAAAGGCTTGCGGCGGTGGCAGCAGCACCAACAACATCAACAACAAAATCATCATCAACAACAGCGACTTGAGATCGGAGCCACGCAAGCTAGACAATGCATTTTTCGTCGTGCGCAAGGGCAAAGCCCGAGGTCCCAATCCCACAGGAGTGATGTGAGGGCCTCAAAGTGTTGGGGGGTGTGGGGGATTGAATGGAGGAGGCGCTTGACTTCTGGCGGGGGGGATGAAGAAATGGTGAAATCGACCTTGTCGAAGCGGAGGAGAAGGGCGCGGAGCTGCGTATACCTGTAACTGTTGAAATATCAACCAGATAAGGCCTCGCGGCCATCCATAACCCACCAGGAGAATGGTAAGCCACAACGACGCAAAGCTCCAAGGAACTAGCTTTCGTGAGAACATCAACAGCACAGCACGATTACAACTTCAATTTGATGGAATGCTGGGTGCGGGCTCTGCTTCTTGCAAAAGGCAAGTGCAGTAACCGGCGCGCAGCCCGAAGAGGCCAGACCTGCTGACCAAAGTGCTGGGCCTTCTAGGCACATCAGCAGCACCTGTTGAATGCTGTGCTCTGCCTTGTGGGGCGGCACAATTGCACCAACAGAGAGCAGTCCGCTGAGCAAAATCGCGCCGCCGTTTCGAGGGAAAGTTACTTCATGTTCTTGCTTTTTCTTTTCCTATGCGCTTGTGTGGGGCGGAAACTTTGGAACTTGAGAGATCGGAGGACTTTTTGTAAAGGCGAGGTTGCGGGCTGGAAGCAGATTCAAGGGCTGTTCGGAGCATCCGCGAAAACAGGCTTTCCAGTGCCGGCAGCCTACTTCCTGCGTCGTGCCTTTGAAATCAA